AACTTGAGACTTAAAAGCTAATGATTTCCTTCTTTTTTCATCATCCTTATTTACTTGTTTAAGGACATGTTCGTGACTCAGTAGAGACCCCACAAGTTCATCTATTGATAGAGTATTTAAGTTTCGAGCCTCCTCTATGGCTGTTCTCTTGGGAAGCCACTCTTTAGGAAGAGATCTTAGTAGTTTTCTGTTTAGGTCTTTTGCAGGATAAGTTTTTCCTAATCCTTTTAGCTTATTTATCAGAAGAGTAAATCTAGAGTACATTTCATGAATTCCCTCACCTGGAGCCATGTCGAAGCACTCATATTCGTGGACCAGCAGATCGATCCTGGTCTCCTTGATGTTCGATGAACCCTCATAGGTGCTTTCCAATGAACTCCATATTCCTTGCGCGGTTTCGCAGTGTTCTACTTTGTCTGCCTCTTCAGGTGACATAGCCGTCTGAAGAATATGCATGGCCCTCTGATTCAACTGAGCGTTCTTCTTTTGAGCGGCCGACCAAAAGTTTTGTTGGTCCACGTCCATCTCGATCGGTCCATCGCGCACGACGGTCCACAGCTCCTCGTCAACTCCCCAGAGAAAGGTCTTCATTCTCTTTTTCCAGGCGGTGTAGTTCGACCCCGTGAAGACTGGTGGATGGTTGTACGACGCGTGACCGAAGTTGTTGGACGCCATCGCAGGATCTTCCCTTGGCAGTAGCTAGCTTCAATCAAGGACATGCTCTGATACCACTTGTAATCAGAGAGTTTTTAGAGTTTTTGGAGGAGAACAATCGAAAGAAATGACGAAGAAGGAATCGAGCGGAAGAGTTAGGGATTTTGACTAGTTAGTCAAACAGCCAGATCAAACCGGTTGGAACCATTCGGTTAGACCTCCTAACTCGACCCGTTCGACGGACTGGGTTTCGATAGAATGGGCCTTGCCCTGATAAGCCCACGAATAAATTAATTTGATCCAGTGCTTTTACAGGTTCCAGCCCAGACCCGAACTCAGGTGAGAAGAGACAGAAGAGTCGTCTTCTTCCCCTGACCAGATTGCAGTCGATACAGAGGACTGGAAAAACAGAGAGAGGTGAGAGAGAAGAACACAGAGCAGAAAGTAAAGTGCACAGCGATATTTTTTAACGAGGTTCGCCACTGGGCTACTCCTCGTCCCAGGATAGTACTTCACTATCCTGAGAGACACTTTGATTTTCTTTATTGACTCGAACAAAATCAAACTGAAAACAAAGTTACAGACTCGGTGAGAAAATCAAAATGCCAAGACACAAAGACCAGAATTCTCGCAGGAATTCTTTACACCCTTTGATCAAGCTGAACCTGTTCCTCAGCTTGATTCAAAGCCACTGATGCCCTAAACCCAATCCCTTAGCCCTTTACCACTGAGAGATCCCTGTTTGCTTCAGTACCCATTCCTTCTCGGCTGCTTGCTTAAATATACCTCTTGAATAGCCGTTGGAATTTGAACTTTGGACTGTAAAGGTAAGTGGAGCAGATGGTGATCGAGATCCTTGATAGATTGATATGCTCCCCCTTAATTTGATCTGCTCCCCCTTAATTTGATTCTGGCAATCTTCTAACTTGATCTCAACACTGGATCCCAAACTGCTTGCCCTCAAAGACAACCCAGTTCCGAGACCGCCAAATTCGCCAAAGAATGGCCACCACCTTCATGAATAACGCCAGGTTATGTACCAGAGCTAACATTCTCTTCAGAAACAACGGAAACGTATGCCTAGGCAATCCCTCTCCAAGGTAGTCCAGTCCCGAGTAGTCCCATAAGGCACGAGCCACCGGACAATCCAGAAAGAGATGCTCCAGTGTCTCCTTACCCTCCCAGCAGACCGGACACCTAGGATTAACATCCACCTTCCTCTCCAAGAGAGCCTCCGTAGTTGGCAACGCACGACTAAGGATCTGCCAAATAAAGACCTTCAATTTCGGCGGAATATCCGCATTCCACAAACGAACCCAGCTAGGCTTGTCCATCCAACCAACCACAGACTTCCATCTACCCTCCCTCCTATCCACATCAACAGCCAGATGATAAGCAGATTTGACAGAGATAATTCCATCAATAGTACCATGCCAGATCAATCGGTCTTCGACATCCCTCCGAGGCAAAGGGATTGCTTTGATGGCCTGACAGGTCGGTGGATCAAACCACTGCTGCAGTTTCTGATCACACCACATCCCCTCGCCAGGACATAAAACCTCCTCTACCCGCGGGTCCCCCCCATCTGGTAGCACCTGAGGATTATACCTAGGAGGGTCCAAGTGAAGCCGGGTATCCAGTTGGAATGGAGCAACGAGGCCGAACGACCATTACCAATCTGCCATCTTAATCCCTTTTCCAGCAGCTGTCAACCAAATAGAATGCTCTGCCACCCCCATGACGGGCGTGACCGCGCCGTCGCTGTCAGAAAAGTCCCCCTGGGGAAATATTTCCCCTTGTACACCTGGGCCAATAAGGATTGAGGTTCCATGATGATTCGCCACCCAATTTTAGCCAAAAGGGCTTGATTAAAGTGCTCGAACCGTCGAAATTCCATGCCCCCATCAAACTTGCTCCTACACATATTCCTCCATGACACCCAGTGAATCTTCGACTGATCCTCCACAGCCCCCCACCAGAAACGGGCCACATGTTTGTCCAATAAACGACACAGGGATAAAGGCAGCTTGAAACAGGACATAACATGCAGCGGTAACGCCAAAGCGATTGATTTAATCAATGTTTCTTTCGCTGCACACGACAATGTCCTCTGTTTCCATCCCTGAAGCCGTTCCAGCAGTTTCTCCTCCAAGTACCGAAAGGTAGCCATTTTTGATCTTGCAATTAGCGTAGGCAAACCTAGGTACTTAATGGACCCCTACCGCCCTAACCCCCAATATAGCAGCCAAGAACTCCTGGTCAGGCAACGCGATATTCTTACTAAAGCATACTGCCGATTTGGCCAGGTTAACCCGTTGACCGCTAAGCTCCTCATACTCATTCAATACCTCAATTAGGTTCTCACATTCCTGAAGCGTTCCGCGCAGGAACAAATACGAATCGTCCGCAAAGAATAAATGCGAGATTTTGGGGGCTCTCGGAGCCACCTTTACCCCATCCAACTTCTTTTCAGATATAGCCTTACGTAAGAGAGCCGCAAATCCCTCTGTGCATAACACAAAAAGGAGAGGGGACAGAGGGTCCCCCTGACGAAGCCCTCTCGACGAAGAAAAATACCCCGAAGGCGTACCATTCATAAGGACCGAGAAGGAAACGGAACGCAGACATTCATGAATCCACCCCCTCCAGACCGAACTGAACCCCATCTTATCTAAAACCGCAAGAAGAAAAGCCCATTCAACTCTATCATAAGCCTTTTCCATGTCAACCTTTAGAGCCATGTAGCCTTTCTTACCTCACGTCTTTATTTTTAGATAGTGCATTAGTTCATTACCCAGTAGGATATTATCAATTATCTGTCGCTCCCTGATGAACGCATTTTGGCCATCTGAAATAATTTGGGGGAGGAGGACAGCCAGTCTCTCAGCCATGATCTTAGTTATGATCTTATAGACAAACTGGCAGAGGCTGATCGGGAGGAGTTGCTGCATCGTTTCAACATTATCCACCTTCGGGATCAGCGTTAGCCAAGTATGGTTAAAACTACGCAACAATCGGCCCGTCACAAAGAAAGAACAGACAGCCTCGATGACCGAATCCCCCACAACATCCCAGAAAGCTTTAAAGAACTTCCCAGTAAAGCCATCAGAGCCAGGAGCCTGTTTCGAACCCATTGAGAAGACAGTCTTGCGAACCTCCTCTGGAAGAACCTCCGCAGTCAAGCTGGCATTCATCTCAGCCGTCACACTGCGGTTAATAGGTAGGGCAGCAACCCGTTCCCCCATATTCGGAACTTGGGATTTCGAGGAAAATAGGCCCTGATAGAAACCAGTGGCAATGGCCGATTTACCAGTTTCCTCCGTGATCCAGTTCCCGCTTTCATCCCGAAGGCCAGCAACAAAGTTCCATTTCCTGCGGACCCGAGTCACCGTATGGAAATAGGACGAATTTTTATCACCTTTTTTGAGCCATTGGACTCGGGATTTCTGTTGCCAGTACACCTCCTCCGCTTCCCATTGCCGACTAAGTTCAGTCTCCAGACCTCTCACAGTATCCCAATCAATTGGGTGAGCCATCTTAATCCTGTGGATCTCCGCTTGGAGAGTTTTAATATTACGCAAAGAGTTTGTAGTGCCAGCCCTACTCCAATCATACAATAAGTGACGGAGCTTCTTCAGGCGTTCCCACAGCCGAAACATAGGGGTGCCCTGAACCTCCTCTTTCCAGACATAGTTGACCATCGCCCTAACCTCAGGATTGTCGGCCCAGCGGGCGTCAAATCGAAAGAGGGGTCGGCTATGACGAGCATAGACCTTATCCGAGAGGAGAAGGGCACGATGATCCGTCCCCTGATCCGGAAAGTGTTTAACCATGGTTTCCGGGAATCGATCAATCCACGACTGAGAGCACAGAGCCCTATCCAAGCATAGTCAAAGAAAGAAAATTCAATAGCCGAAGTAAAGCTTAATAAATAAATAAATAATCAAACATATATAAACTCCCGGACTTGTTTTATTTTTCTTCTAATTCCTCGTCATTTTGCATGCTATGTTTTTTGCTAAAGCAAAGCATAATCACAAAAAGAAAATTACATAACTGAAGTAAAGCATAATCAAACATATATAAACTCCAAGACTCCTTTTATTTTTCTTGTAAGTAATTCCTCGGTCATATTTTGCATGCTATGTTTTGCTGGAGGAAAGCATAATCCAAGAAAGAAAATCAAACATATAGAAACTCCAGGTTCCTTTTATTATTCTTCTAATCCCTCGATCATTTTGTCTTGTTGTTTTATTTTTTTTTTCTTCTAATTCCTTGGTCTTTGTGTATGCGCTCGCAGCATACAGACTTATGGGCTTGGAGAAGACAAGATGACAGACATATGCTCACTTGCAAGTAGCGACGAGCACTTTCCTTGGAGGCAGAGAAGGCCTCCTGCCATGGAGCAAAGCCCAGTTATCGAAGAAGGCAACATCCCCCTTCTGCCATTTGAACTGGATGCTCTCTTCCTCTATGATCTCCTCACACCTCTTCACCAACTTCAATGGCAACTCCGTCCCGTCCGCCATTGTTGCCGAGCTCTGCTCCTTCCCATGCATCCCCACCACGGTGTTGAACCACATCCTCCTCCCGTTCCTCCCTTCGAACACCCTCGTCAGCGCCCTTGGCCTCAGTATCGTCTTCGCACCTCCATCTGCGAGCCACTCGATTTCCATCCCTAGAGCATTGGCCCTAGATATACATATAAAGTACGTCAGAGTAATCAATTAGAATAAGAATCAAGTTTCTTGTCACGTTAGGTCACATGAACACCTAATTTACGCATTTTTTCATTTATTCACGTCATATTTGTGTTATTCACGTCATATTAACGTTATTCACGTAAGAGTGTTGCTTATTCACGCAACCGATATTGTTAGTGACGCAACCTGGTGTTTGTTTACGCATATTGTTACTTATTCACGTCATTGTAAAATTAAATTTTACACTTTAAAATATATCAAAATGGATGTCGTTGTATAGATTATGATCAATGCAACATAATTTTACAGATTAATTGTATGAGAATCCAAATTTAATTCCATATAAAATATAGCCAATACAAATTATTAGGGGGAAAAAGTCTGAATTTTCATTTACGTGAATAACTTACACTCTTACGTGAATAAACATAATATTACGTGAATACATACCAAATAACGTGAATGAGCACAAAAATACGTGAATAAATTGACATTAGGTGTTTTGTCACCTAATGTTTTCCTTAGAATAGAATAACCCCTAGAGTTTGGTTAGAACATCATGAATTAAAAACACAATATGATACCTGCGTTCGGCTTCCTGCTTGTCGGATGTAGCAAAAGCATCCTCCCAACCTCGTCCTCTCATGGAAGCAGTGGTGTTTCGAGTAGGTGCAGAGAAAGAGTACATCAGACCTCTCTTCTCTATCTCCTCGACTTCTTCCGGGAACTCCTCGAGCATCTTCTCCGTCACTTTGAAGCTCGGCACAAACGGCGTCTCTCCTCCTTCCGGCGGAGGAATCTCGCAGAACAGTATCACTTTCTTGGGGAACTCCTTTATCTATTTTTGTAACATCATAATTTCCCAGTCTCAATTATAAAAATGATGCAAATGGTCATAAATTTACGCTCCGATGATTAGTTGGTAATTTACCAGGACCATCTCGTGGTGGTAGTAGATGAACTCGGACAAGGGGCCCTCGTTGGCGGTCCAGATCCGCTTGTGGATATGGGTCCGGGGAGCCGGCCCAACGTAGCGGATGTCCTCCCAGTCACAGGCCTCCACGACGTCGTTGAAGTTGACGGCGTTTCCCACGTCGAAGCCCCGCAGCAAAACGGCGCTGTTTTTGGTGATCATCTGGTCGAACCACTCCTTGTTGTTCCCCAACGCCTCCACCAGCGACTCGACGTCCTTCTTCGCCGGGTCCGCCGGCTCCAGCACTAACGGCATCACTTCGCCGTCGACGACCTTCTGCCCGTCGCAGCTTCCGATCTTGAAGAACTTGCTGGAGTACGCCGCCATTCTCTCAAACCCTTTTGTCCTTTTCTTACTTTCTCTCTTCTTTGTGTAAGTGTGAGTGTTGCAGTGGAATTATTACGGTTACTTAAAAAGGGACCTTGGATATTGTTCTTATCGGACGGTTTTTTGGACATTGTGCAGACTGACGTGTACCAGAGCGGCAGAGCGGAATATGCAAAGAATCCGAAGTTTAAACAAGAAACATCCACGTCAATAAACACACAAGAAAAAGTACCTTATAGAAACAACCGAAAAAGAATCAACGGGAAACCAAATGAGAACAGCGAGTAAAAGTCATGTTAGGAATACGTTACGCACAAGAAAACCTTGTGGAGATCCGGCCGAGAGATACTCTCGGAGCGGGTCACATCTATATTACTATATAGCTCTGCATCTTTGGGGTTGGAGAATGGAGAACTGATGTGAGATGGACATAAACTTAATAGTTAATATCATGAATAATAACCCTAAAAGTATGGTTGTTAATGTTGAATCTTCTCATTAACTTTGGCAACAATGATTACATTCCTGGCTAGGTTGATGCCCAACCATTGTAATGATACAAATATTCATAGATGTGTAAATTTTTTTTATTACACCCACAGACCCGCATGCTATCGATGTAGGAGGATCAACTCCATTCCTGTGGGTATTTGAACAGCGGGATAAATTGTTGGAATTCTGTGAAAGAGTCTCGTGGTTCAGAATGCATATCAGCTTCATACAACCAAGTGGAGTGGCACAAGATCTGTCTCATGGCTTATGTCGAGATATTGATTTTTCAACACAACAATTTGCTTCTCGTATCGACAAAATTAGAATAGATGTCGACCGGCAACCGCCTATCTGGAAACAACGACTAGCGGATATGAGATTGGAAGCTGAGATTCCAGGGTACTCATGTCCTCCACTTTGAACGGCATCAATAAGCTATAGATTTTCCCAATTTATATCTTTACATACGATTTAGATCACATTTCCTAAATTATCATGTATCGGGTAGTGCTTTTTATTTTAATATAATTAGTTTTGGTATGACGTATTCCGGTACATTTGAATCATTGAAATAACACTTAAGTATCTTTCTTAACTCTTTTTTCGGCAAATTCTGTGGTGCCGTTGCGGCACCGGTGCCGCCATTTATCCTGGCCGGTTCAAATAAAATGGGTTTGATTTGGAATGGTTTAGACAATATTTATTGGGTCTGATTTGATTTGATATTAAATTGATAATACAAAATTACAAAAACAGAAGGCAGCGGTCATTCCTCTTTTCCCCTTTATTTCTTTTCTTTCTCCATCATCGGGAAGCCGGCTCCTCCATCGGTTGAAGCCACAACCTGGCTACCATCATCATCTCATCGTCGTTACATCATCATCACGCAAATACCAAATACATCCTCAGTCGGAATCACCACCGTCATCATCGTCCCTGCCGCCGTTGAAGCATAACTAACATTGCCCCCGCCGCTGTCGCCACAGCCGGCACACACTCGGCCATTTTGTTGCCGTTCGGCATAACAAGCATCGTCTCTGCCGCCGATGCCATGCGCACAGTCATTGCGCTCAAATCCCGATACCTAGTCATTAAGAATCACCACCGCGGCACCGCCATTAGCGCTCTTGCCGCGACCCCAAGTGTAACTATACGGAGGGAGGGATGCCGGTTAAAAACTTTGCCGGAGTAGAATTCGTTTTAGCGGCTGTCTGGGAATCCGTCGTTGCAATGCCATATAATAGGAATAGTGATCAAAATGAAGCGAAGAATATGGCTTTGCTGTGAAATGATTAATTCTGTTGTCGGTGTTGACTTTCACTTCCTGCCGTCGATTAGTGGAACCACAGGGAAGGGAAGCAGGGTTTTTCATAAACATATAAATTTTCTTTCCGTTGATAATTAAAAGTGATTTATAATACTGAATTGGAATTAATAATAGGTTTAACCATATATAACTGGTCGAACCATATTTGGTTAAGTTTGGGTTTTAATCAATGATGATCATTAAACACAACAGATCCAACGGCTTAAATGATGGCGGCACTTGTGCCGTGACTGCACCACAGAAATGCCCATAATCTTAATAAATTGATGTCACCACTATAAAAAAAAAAAAAAAAACAATACTTAAGTATCCACTAATAAAAACAATTCTTGAGCATCAAAATTATAATTATTTATTATTCTCGAATTTTTTCCCCCTTTTCCGTCTATATTCTTGTGAATCTTTCGCCTGCAGCCTAGAATATGTCGGAAGTCCTTTGATGTGAAGCAGACTTCTTGTTTGCTTCCATCGATGGAACATAACTTCCAACAAATTTGGAGCTTTGCTTTTATCTCCTACGAACATAAGCGACTACTGGCCGGACGAAGCAAGAAAAAGCATTTCTCCTTGGATTTTGCCAAAGAGAGAACATGTCTAGCTCTTTGGATTTTTGGTCTGCTGCTACCAATACAGGCAGTGATATAATTATGAAATTAGTCATGGAGTGTACTTCTTGAGAAATATAATTTACTAAATATTAAAACAAATACGCATTATATGAATGTCATGTTAGTGATTAAGAAAGGCGTAAATTTGGTCAAATTGTTGGGTGGTCGGATTTTAAATTCAGAGATCTTGGTTTCGATATTCTAACATGCAATCAGCTTTCTCATCTTCCCCATCTCCTGTTGAGAGAGCTGTCAAGAATCGGTTGCTCCCAATAATTCGAGTTGTTGGAAGAGGTTCAATCGTGGATCATATACCGTTTACTAACAAGAGCACCAATAAAATCAAAGACAAAAACTAGGTTGTTTGAGTTGATCAAAGCATGGCTAAGAAATTGTTTATCGATGAAGGACATAGCCAAGCACACATATAGATATAGGTCTAAGCAGCTCATAGGTCTAATTTAGAGACTTAACTAAAGTACGTACAAATACTCAGTCATCTCAGTCGCTAAATGTACGTAGATAAAATACAAATACGTACATGGATCAAAATCATAAATACATGTCAGTGACATCGAATCAAACCTGCACTAACTCCTACCCCTGTTAGCACACTAATAAAATCCCCACCGAACACAATACCACCCTAATTGGGTCTCTTTTCCGTTTCAGAAACGTTGCACCAGATTTTTGTAGGGATTGTTTGGAGGGTGTGATTCTCCAAATTGATGCATTTAATCAAATTTGTCCATTGTAATTTAATGTATTGATTAAACGTATGAATCTGAAAAAATATATGGTTTAATACACTTGTATATTCAAAACTTTCACGGTTGTGCCGATAATATCCAAATTTCCCGAAATACCAATTATATCCATGTTTTAAAGTTGTTCTTTGCCAAATCTATCCATTTTCCAATATATTTTTGGTTAAATACACTTGTATATCCAAAAACACCTTTAAAGAATGTGAAGGAATTGGATATAAGTGGTATTTCGAAAAATTTGGATATTATTGGCACAACCGTAAAAGTTTTGGATATACAAGTGTATTTAACCAAAATATATTGTTTTGAGGTATAGATTGTGTTTTTTTATAAAGAAAAGTCTGGGTTGACAATCAGTGGCATAGCGAGGATCTTATTGAAGAGGGGGGGCAATAAAAAACATACATATGTGGTCTCATGTTTCATATTGTGAAATTATTCTTAAACTATATGAATGCAAACTATCAAGATTTCACACTTAATGTCTCCCATCAAACAACCATTCATAATTTCATTTCACTTTATGCGAAGGCTGGTCAATCGTTTCATTGCATAAAGCGTTATCAACTTGTGCATTGACGAAAACTAATTTTCTATTATGACTATCATTAGCATAAAAAATTGACGATTTCCTTTAATAATTTGCATCTCTTATCCATCTTGATAAATTAGAATGTAGAAATGTAGAAATTAGTAGATAAATTTAATTTATATAGTTTGTTGTGGTTTAACCATAGAAAATTTCCCGATTGACATTGAAATTTGGAATTTAGATATCATTATTAGTATACTACTACTATTGATTTTTTGTGCTTTTTCTAAATCTAAAGGGGTGCAATGGAACCCCCTATTTAGTCTTTACCTCCGCCCCTGTTGACAATCCCTTATTAATAATCTCACCTTTTGGTAGATATTGATAATTACTCATTTTGAATGATTATAAATGAACCTATAAAAAATATAATACATATATTTTATCTCAAATTTAACCAAAAAGAAGTTTTAATCTTGACATTACATATATTGATTGAAGTCTAATTACATCACTTAAAATCCCAACCTCCAAAAATCCAAACCCAGTAGTTCACAGTTTTAGAAGTCTTTAGGTTTTACCCCCTCCCAGCTCTCAATGACCCATACATTAGTTAGCATCTCCAGCAGCAATTGGGACAACCCTAGACCGTACATATCCATTATCCTAACTGAATAAAGTATAACATCCTTGTTCGGAAATAATCAACTCAAAGCCCCAAGTCTCCACCAGGAACAAACCACAACGGCGTTTTCCAAACACAATATATAATGATTCGTAGGAGAAATGTGGAACCCAAAATTAAAAAGAACATAAACACACAACACAAACATAAACGTTAGAATATCATAATCATTTTGGAGCATCTCTGTAAAACATTCGGCAAAAGAAGGTACAACATCACATAATATGCTATTGATTGCTATCCCACTTCCGCTGATCAAATTACCCCCATGTCAGATGTACAGAAGCAACACCTTAACTAGAACCTGACCATAATGTCAAGCGGCCACCGCCATTTGTAGCTGAAGTGCTATCCTTCTTCTTCACCAGCCCCTCCATTGCAACTGACTCAAAAGGCAGCCAAAGCTTGAACAGACATGTTGACAAAAAACTAAAATTCACTGAGAAAGCAAACAGACTCCCTTCCTCGCTAGGCTCTACCCGTCCACCATTGTCCATTAAACAGGAGGAAAGCAATTGAGGAATCGGAAGCAGAATCTAGGAAGAAATCGAGCCAGAAAAGGAAACAAACATATCATCATCATCTCCAGCCCTTATTTCTCTCTGGCAAACTGAAATAGATAAAATAACCCCCGGTGAAAACCCCTAGCAGAGCAACCCCTAAAACAACCAGTTTTGCTCCACGGCTTCACCGCAAAAAGGTTGGGCTAAAGGTTGGGCTCTAGCCTCAACCTCTTTGCTAGATTTGACTTAAGTAACAAACAAACACTTAAGAAGAAGCACGATTGGGCATGCCTCCCCTCCCACGACCCCTCCCAACATATCCACCACCACCTCCATATCCACCGCCTCCATATCCGTATCCACCCCTTCCATAGTAAGAACCACGAGATCTTCCACGTGGTCCACGACCACCACGGCCTCGATATCTTGGAAAATCCCCAAAAGTCTGCAACCATTCATAAAAGGGAAAAGGGAATCAACAAGATGCATGAAAAGGCATGCCAGCAATAACCACGTCACAGCCAATTACCTCGGTGTCGATCTTCATTTGCTCAGAGAATTTAGGCCTTCCATTTTGTGAATTGTGGTCGAGTGTATGGCTGGAAAGGGTATCAAAGAAGTCATCCTTGTTGTAAACAGGCTGCAGAGCGAAAAATCCAAAATTCAGGGGGGGGAATGTAGCCTTTGAAGTTCCATTTAAAACCATTTTTCAACATGTTGTCCATGACAGTCATGTATATAATTGAGCAAAGAGAGGATGAGATATAGAACCAATATGCAACCACCTTATGATCAGCCTTGCCGGCATCATCATCCTCTTCAAAATCCTCTTCATCACTCACGCCGCCATCTTCTTTGTCTTTAGCCTTGTTCTTCCCAAGGTGACCCCAGACTTCGTCCTTGTTGAATTTCTCATTCATTGCCATAAAATCAAAATCCTCAGTAAATTTTGTCAGCGGACGTGAACCCTGCATTAACATTTAATTTGCATTCATTAACAACATTCAAAAGCGCTCCAAAACTAGGACAGTAGAAGAGAACAGCTACGAAAAACTCAATAGAGAATTTGAGTCAACAGAGGTTTGGAGTATTAGGAAAAAGCTCTACTGAAGTTCTAAATATGGCAATGCTAGTTTGATAAAGGGACTCTTGAAGTCAATCCGGGAAAAATAAATTGGATGCCTATCCAAGCAATGAAGTTAGAAAACCTTGGATCAGAACAGATTTACAATAAGTTAATGACGCCAACATAAGTACATATTAACGCAGGTATGATTGAGACATTACCCCGATTCCTCTTCCTCTATCGCGTCCACGAAAACCATGATTATGGCGGGCATAGAAAGGAGCTCCATTTGGCTGGCGAAAATTGAGGGGAAACAAAAACAAATGTCAAGCATATATTCAGGAAACGTAAATCATTAAGCTCGAAATACTAGGCAAAGTAGATCATTCAACCATCTGTAGTATCATAGGCCCCACAAAGCATACACAGAAGTACATGCAATTAACTTTGAAGAACAACAACATATCTCCATTGCCAGAACCCAAACGCACAAATATGAACTTATCCTTACTCCTTCCTAGTGAATACCATGAGTCTAAGAGAAACCTGGTCAAATGAAAATAATAGACAGTACACCTGTAAGCAACAAGACAGCTATAATGGTCTACAACAGAAAGAATTGGTTACATCCATAATATGAGTTAACACTACACTCCAAAAGAAGATAAGACACAAGCGATAACGAAAATCAATATACTCGCAATTTAGATAATATATAGAATACTGACAGGATCTCCTGCAATATCTAATAAAGAATTAGTTTCTAAGTGCAGATATTGGCATATTTGGCTATAGAAGTTATACATTAAGGCACAATCCAAAAATGTGAAGACAACAGGAGACCAGACAAATTTTGTGCACCAGACATCATGCAAGTATTAAACTGAAAGTTATGTCTGGATGTGAATATGGATCTAATGTAGGCATGCAGAAGGTGTACCTTATGGCCAGTCCGAGAAGGTACGGGCAATGGAAGGATAGGAGGTTGAGCTTCGGTAGCAATGGGAAGAGGAGATTCGGATGAAGATGTTGCCGATGGTTGAATAACCTCCACGTTCTTAAGGGCTGTTTGCACAGGCTGGGATGACGGAACAGTAGTTGCTCCAGATTGCAACAACTGGCCAGGGGTTACCAGTGAAGGGGTCAGAGCTTCTGTGCGCAAAGAGCTAGATGCTACAGAAGCAGATGATGTTGGCTGTATAGCGCTTTGATAAGGAATTGCTGGAGCAGCAACAGAGTTAGCCTTGCTGGAAGTTGGTAACAATATGGGATTCAATTCAGGGCTTGAAGTTGACAGTGGTGTTAGAGAGGGTAAGTTGGGACTTAAACTGGAAGCAGGAAGAACTGAATTGGCAGCCCGACCAGGTACCAAACCATGCAAAGTCTCAGAAGGACGGGTGGCAGAGGGCACCGAAGAAAGGTTTGAAGGCAGAGGTGAAGCTAGTGACACAGGGTTGACAGAGGTGCTAGTAGGTAGCAGAGGTGGAAGATCAGGCATGGTGGTTGACAAGTTCGAAGCTCCCAAACTTGAAGCTGGAGGCATGTTCGAGGGTTGAAAGTTTGAAGGTGGAAAGTTTGAGTTTTGCAAGTTTGAAGGGGGCATGTTCGAGGCTTGCAAGTTTGTAGGCGGCAAGGTCGATGCTTGCAAGTTTGAAGGTGGCAAGTTTTGAGCAGGCAAATTTGAAACAGGCAAGTTTGAGCCTCCCGTTGGTAAGGGGCCATTAAAGTTGGGGTATTGCATTTGCTGCTGCTGTTGCTGCATGGACGAACCCATTGCCAACCCTGGTGGTGGGCGAAGCAAAGATTGTTGGTGAAGATGTGGTGGAAGCCCATTTGGAGGACCATAATACCCTTGCCAGTACATCGGCATAGCAAGACCAGCTCCATTTGCGTTTGGTGGAGGTGAAGCCCCCCATGTTCCTAACGCCCCTGCAGGTTGATACAATGGCAAGCCACTCTGATAGTTTGGTGGAGGCATTCCCATTTGAGCATGATGGGATCCAGGATCAGTCAAAGGTCCAGTAACAGCTGATGGCAAGCTAGAAGAAGTTGAAACTGGTCGAGGATAGTGAGACTGCATGAAAGATCCTGGTGAATTAGCAAGGGTAACAGACTACCATTGATGCACACAAGTGAAAACAAATTTGATCCCCCAGTGTCTACCTGTATTATAGCTGGATCATTGTTTATAGGTGCTGTAGGCTGCACAGGAGCTGATGACTTAACCTGCAAGTCCTGTAACAGAAGTGACAGAAAAAATAATCAATTTCTTTGTATCTGTGTGCTTGTATGTTCATATGTATGAATAAGAATGCAAAATAGAAGAATTAAGCCACTGATTTGTTAAGATGCAGAGTTTCAACCAATTAGCAACTCTACAATAGCTTGCACCTTCCTCATATACAAAAACAAAAGTAACAACTGCCTGATTAAACTGACACGAATACCCACAAGCAAGACAAATATAGACGCGTGAAATGTTCACATGTACGACAATTATGCATGACAGATAGTGTAATCAGCCAACGAATCAGATGACACTTAATTGATATGTCTACAACCTTAGCCAATTTTTTCCCAGACATCACTACACTGAACCAAGAAATATATTCCAGACATAAACAACAGGACAATGTCAATTAAGGATCCCCATCCTGTAGAAGGAACCTAGTGGTTGCACCGGTATGGTTCCTTCTAACTTTAAATTAACAACTTCACAATAATCATTTTATCGAGAGCTTTTCTTTCTGTAAACAATCATTTCATTTTATAGATCGACTAAAGATGCTGATCATTAAATTTAAAGTCCGTTAATTTTTCAGACCGAGAATTCAACCAACTCCAAAGGTTGTATGTCACAGATAAAAAGGGGACAATGCTCACCATTAAGCTAGAGAGAATCCAGAGCCTCATCATTACGAAGGAGCAAAACTGAATTAAACAACTTTCAGAATTGGACAATACTCTTGGCCATCTATACTCTATGTGGTACCTTGATGTCAGTTCCTCGGAACAATATGTACTCATATACTTTGTCACTGGGAGGAATTTGTGGCCCATCCTTTTTCCGCCCTTCTGTTCCAAATGACCGTACTGTAGGACCAAACAAAGCGTGAATGAGAGGAAGCCCATTAGCAGATTATGCATCAGATCAGAGGCAGACCAAAGTAAATTTACAAGACTTACTGCGAGAAAATTCTACCCTCAAGCAAGAAAATCAGATAGAACATTGCCTAACAGCTAAAAGTGCAAGAAAGCGAAGCATTCTCCGACAATGCAACACTATCTAGCTAAAATCTCCAACAGAAGGAATACGAATCTAGAAACCGCCAATTTCATTCAATATTTTCTGACCCTTGAGCTGCAACGATGAAGCAACATCTTGGCCGATGCAGTCAAAATCAACTCAACTCCAAGCAAAATCCCCGGAAAACAAAGCGATTTTACGGGGGGAAACCCCAAATCTTCCCAGCTAAGAGAAGCGGTTACCGTTTTTCAATCCAATACTGGACTCCTCAGTGTTGATGTTGTAAAGAACGCCTTCGTATCTGATCTCACTCTTGGAAGTCAAGCTTATCAAGCTTCCTATGTAGGAATCCGCCGCCGAATTCGACCTGGAAGTCGAGGCCGAATTGGCACTATTCTCCGTCGCCATGGATAAGATATATATGTACCTGTATATATCTCAAAATTGAAATCCGAGCCGCGAACAAAGTCGCAGTCGCATGAACCGACTGATCTCGTCGGTCGCCGGAGAGAGGATCTGTGAAAAAAACCCCAAACTGAATACAAACTCGGCGATTGACAGAGAGAACTAGGGTTTAGGTTATCCGTATTTTTCTTGCTTTCCCTGTGTTTGTTTCTGATTATAAGTTTATAACAGGGGGAGAGAAGACCTCTAATAATTATTATTATTTCTTTTCTTCTTCCATTTTTTCCATGGGGTATTCCGCAGTGTCCGTGGGCGCGTAATGAAGCCCAACGCAAAGCTGCCACGTGAAGATGCTGGGATAAATCAGTCTTTAACTGTCCAAAGGCGAATTGTGTTACCTAAGTTCAATTAGCGGCGAGCTCAATATAATCGAGAGAACTGTACGTGGAAGAAGATTCTAGACCTGGCAATCGAGTTGGATAATTTTGGGTTGGGATTTTGGGTTCTATGTCGGAATGGATCGGATCATGTTTGGGTTGGCTTATTTTGATCAAATGTTGATCCAACTCAATTGGGTTACATGTCGTAATGGATAGGATCATATGCTTGAGTTGGCTAATTTTATCAAATGTTGATCCAACTCAAATTTTTGTGACGGGTTTGGGATAATTTCGGATTAGGAGTGTTCTCATAAACAAGAATAAACATGCTTCATATTTTTGTAAATAACACAAATTTTCATATGTTTATGTCAACAGTTTGTTTAACACATGTCTATTCACAAATTATCAAATCCTCTCATGCTAATGAAAAGAAATATATATTGCTCAAATTGCCAAAAAAAAGTTTCATGAGAGTAAGACTAATACACGAAGCATGTGATATTTGAATATTTGATTATCCCTACACTCCAAACTTGTCTTTTATATCCTTGTAAATTTTGTCATGCATCTCACCAATTTATGAGTGATTTTATCATTTTGAGAGAGATATGATATGGAAAAGGTTAAACTAGTCGACCCGCCGACCCACCTAACCAACCCAAAACATTGTGGGTTAATTTCGTTTAGATCATTTAGGTTTCGGGTTATAAAAAATCAACACAATTTTAATTTCTCGGACCGGTCATGTCATAATTTGTCAGGTCTACAGAGGAGGAAGAGGCTATTGTATTTGCTAGGAATAACAATAGGTCGGGTTTCTTTAACTTCGAACCTAGTTCAATGGTGTATCCATTAAAAAAATTAAGTAAAATATAATTCTCTCCTTGAATGGGTTCAGAATTAATCATGAAGGCTCCGCACCCAAGTTTCCATTTTTATTTCAGGCCACAAGAGAAGGCCTAAACTTGTGCAAGTGCGACTAAGACCATTCCAATACTAGCAACAAAACCAGATATCCACTGACCAATGGCATTATGAAGTATACCACCGATTCCTGCTAGTCGTGGGTTCCTATTAGAAGCTCCATCAATGGCCAATGTCATCAAGTCATCAAGGGAAGGTGTACGGGCATCTGTCTATGAAAGAAATAGCATATTTTGTGGGAGCATCCATGGAGAAAGCGTGTGGAATTTAAGGGATCTCGAAATTCAATCCACCAACTAGGCGCAGAGTTAAAATCTATCCAACCAATCTCGACAAAGATGTGTCTTGTAGCAAGGAAGCAGTGACCATACTTTGAGCGAATGAATTGCGTCCACAAATTTTACTTTCTTTAAAGTGTCGTTACCTGCATTTAGCAAGCATCGCTAGGTTTGCTTATTTAAGCGAACAAAGTCCGGCCCCATGAGTCTTATAGAGACCATATTTTCCCATGTCACTATATGCATTCTTGACATGTTTTCTTCCTCTCGTCACATGAAGTCCATATTAATTTATGAATATTTTTGCAGAAAACACTAAGATTAGCTCGGTATGCACATATGAGTGGGGAGAGAGGAGGAAATAGATGTGGTCACTAAGAGATGGGCAACAAAAGAGAGTCATTTTGCCTTACACATACCAAATTTCTTTTGAATCCTTAGTATCAAGTTCTAGTATCTGTTTTGGTAACCCGACCATGAATGGGCTGGATACTTAGGTACCTTCCCACTTCTGGACTTCTGGTTGAGGGGAATGCATGCACTTCGACTCAAATGAAGCACCTTATTAGTCCGTTCAATGCTGGGAGAGATATACATTATTGACTTGTTGTAATTAACCCGCTGCTCCTAGCTGGAGGAAAAGTCGCAAATGCATTGCTTAATCACTCAAATCTGTATACTCTCAGCTCCCGCAAACCATAGCAAATCATTTGCGAAAAAGATGAGTGAGCATCGAGCCATCCTTAGTGAGTTTGATGCCCTTCCACTAATTATTATGAAAAGCTTCATCATTATTGTTCAATAACTATTCGCTGTATAGAACAAAAGGTAAGGGGATAAAGGTCTCCTAGTGAACACCACATGGTCGCATTAATTAACAATGTATTTCCATGAGCAGAATATATGTTTTGTTGAATTGCGCCCGCTTCCACCAATCTACAAGTTGAGGACGATGTATTGGATTGATTCATTAAGAAAGCTTGCATGGAGCATGAATTCATCTCAACAAGATTGGGTTGCAAAAGAGGCGACAAATGGATCTCTCCCCCAAAGGATTCAAGTGCTTAACATTATTCATCCGACGTTGTGATTGGTTGCTTGTACTCCTTTCGTTTGTTGGAATGGAAATGACTTACTGTAAAAAAAAAGAGCAATGACATTAGTGTCATTCAGGTATTAAAGGACTGTTGTGATTGGTTGCTTGTATTCCTTTCGTTTGTTGGAATGGAAATCACTTATTGTAAAAAAAAAAAGAGTAATGACATTATTGTCATTCATGTATTAAAGGACTGTCCATCTAGTGATATAAAAAAAAGCTTTCTTATCGATAGATCGACTATCATCCTTATTCCTTTTATTTTGCGATCTCTTTCACCTTAAATATCTTCATAGCTATCGGTCTGATTCCAAATATCTTCGTAAAAAAAAGCATACACAACAAGGTTGTCAACCTGCGGGTTGACCCGGACCCGATCGAGCTAGTGGGTAAAGAGTTAACGGGTCACCCGTTTTAGCCCGGAAATATGGAAAGAGTCATTATATTGTACTTATCTTGTTAAATTATATCAAATCTCATATAACATATGAGTAATAAGTAATAACATATAACATTATACCAAAGTAACATGTAGTACTTAGATCCAACATATAGTGAAAATTCACACACACTTATATAACATCAATATTCAAATGTTCAACTAAGGAATCCAAAGATTGAGTTAGCGAAAGCAAAATCGGAAAATAGGCGCATTTTGCAAACCAAAGAAAAAAATGACACAATTGGACCTCCAACCCGATACCTTATAGCGGTCAATCCGACAGGTATGTGCTGTCCATTTTTCTCACCAAGTCAGATTCAAAGTGGGTCGACCCGCAGGTTTATCTTGGATTGACAACTTTAATATATAGTTATTCATAATTTCATAGGTTCATATGATACGACTGATGTCCTACAAAATCGCTGGACCGGAGTCAATGGGGCTGAAGTATGCCGTTATCGCTGACTATCGAACTCCTGCAGGGGTATATATGTAAATTCTCCATGTTCCGCCTCTCTCCCAAATCCCCAATCAATCACTGGACCCGAGCCTTCCGCGACAGGAGATTCTGTTCTATTCTGCCCGCTCTCCCTCATTCCTCTCCTCCAGCACCCTCAACGTCGGGCCCCCGTCAATTTTGAAACCCGAAAGGCCCATTTCCTCCGATTGCTCTCTCCTCCATCTCTTATCGTTTCGCCGGGGGCGAAATCCGTTCAGCTTCTTCAGGCGGTTCGGGTTCCCGTGCAAGTTCGGAATCGCCTCTGTCGAAACGGATATAACCTGAAAATTGAGCGCCATAAACTCTGAGGATTACCCCTTCTAATTGGCGGGTTTGATTCCCCAACTGCGGAATGTTCCCGCAACAGAGACGGACTTCGCCGGCGATCACGCTAACTCCGGCGCATAAGAGCGGTGGGACATCCAATCCCGCCACGGCAAACCCTAGGAGTGTAGGGAAGGGAAAGGATGTGGCTTTCGTTGATGGTCCCAGTCTTCTGCCGTCGGACCCTCCTCCTCCGCCCACTGGGTTGCTGAACGATAGTGATATGGCAACCGAGGATGAAGATTCGGAAGCTTGGAGGCGGTTTAGGGAGGTGGGTTTGCTGGACGAGGCTGTAATGGAGAGAAAGGATCGTGAGGCACTTATGGAGAAGGCTTCCAGACTTGAAAAGGAGGTCTGTTGCTCTCTCTTCTTTGTTACAACGAATCACCACCTGCTGGAGCTTCATTTTTGTTTTGCTTCGGTTTGGCGTTGTTTTGGAGGGTCAGTTTCAATTTGGTGCTTAGCCGAACTGCATGTCAAAAGAGGTTCATCTTAAGTACTTTCTCTTATTGATAATATGAACAGTAAGCCCCGTGGGCTTCAGTACTTAATAGACTTTTTTGGTGTCGATTTCGGAAAAAATGACTAGATTTTGAATCTGGAAAAAAAACGGCATTGTGCATTATCCAGAATTCCATATACTGAACTTTGGAGGGTCAGTTTCAATTTGGCGATTAGCCGAACTGCATGCCAAAAGAGGTTTATCTTAAGTACTTTCTCTTATTGATAATATGAACAGTAAGCCCCCGTGGGGTTCAGTACTTAATAGACTTTTTTGGTGTTTCGATTTGGGAAAAAATGAGTAGAATTTGAATCTGGAGAAAAAACGGCATTGTGCATTATCCAGATACTAGCACCCGCTTAAGAGACTAGGATACACAAATGAGTGTTTGGTATGTCTATGTGCTACTGTAGTGCTTTTTTCGTGTTAAATATGGTGAAAGAGTAACAAGATGTTTACAAGTCGCTAAAACTGCATGCTTTCTGGGAATGAGTTGTTTCTCAATAGTTTGAGATACCTAAACTTATAGAAGTTGTTTATACTTCATTTACAAAAAATTTCTTTCGTGGCACAGCTTTTTGACTACCAGTACAACATGGGGCTTCTCCTTATTGAAAAGAAGGAGTGGACTGTGAAACTTGAAGAACTAAGTCAAGCAGTGGAAGAGGCACAAGAGATCCTCAAACGTGACCAGTCAGCGCACTTGATTGCGTTGACAGAAATGGAAAGGCGAGAACAAAGTTTAAGAGATGCTTTGGAGGTTGAGCGACAATGTGTAGCTGATGTAAGTTACACCTCCGTTTCCTTTTAAGTTTTAACCTACTGTAACTTTTCTAGGTGTTTTACATGTATCTTTTATATTCTCTGTAAATGAAACTTTCTTCATGTCTAT